ACGTGACACGTTCTGGCTGTCTGTAAATAAAGCAAAGCCACTTCCTCGTCCGACATTAAACAGAGCCCGACAGAGGAGGGAGGGGCGGGGAGGCTCTGCCGTGCAGCGCAGCTGTCCTGCGTCTGACCTCAAAGTGCACAAGCTTCAAACTTCAGCGTTGGCTGCGATTTTGACGCTGAAATCGCGTTCGGTGTGAACGCAGCATAAGATTTAATCCAATATAGACAAAAATGTAAAAGCTTCACTGGACCACTAAAAAGGTTATTTAATGGCTCAAAAAGGTGGCAAATATTGATATATTTAAGGTACTCAATTTAAAATTTTTAATTGGAAATGAAGTTTTCCTGAACTATATCAAATAAAGCAATTTGAAAGAGTTTGGTATTTTTCCGTTTATAGTGATGTACATTATTCTGTAGCGCAGGTTCACACAATAAAAGCAAAACTCTTTGCTGAATACATGAACCTATGAAAGCTTGTGAATRACCTACATTAGGGCCAGTTTCTGTAAATAAATATGGCTGACCATTATTTCAATCACTTCATGCTACTTTGGTTTATTTACAGCTTTGGGCTCCTTTTGAACTTTTTTATTTACAATAAGTTCAGATGTTGGTGAAACAGAATAAAGTTCTCTAAGTATACTTTGTTAAAAATAATTCTTCATGAGAATAAATTTAAAACATTTACTCTAATTCAGTTATTTAAAAGCAGATCAGTTCATCAGTAATAATTCCTCATTAGTCAAACATTTTTAATATTTTAACCCTAATCGTAGGTTTTATGATGCATGAATATATTATTATCTTCATGTTGTCTTTGCAGGACAATCCGTGAACACCTGGGGGAGCAGGAGGTCTCCATCTCTCTGACCATCGACTCACTGGAGGAGAACGATCTGGGAAACTACTCCTGCCACGTGGAGAACAACCATGGGCGGCGGCAGGCCAATGTTCAGCTCACAAAGAAAGGTGAGCAGGGAAAAAAATACAATAATAATAATAATTATATTAATGATTATAGGAGCATTTCTTTTTATCATAAATCTTGCAAATGAAAAGAGAGGTTTTGGTGCTCAGGAACGCCATGTTTACGTTTTCGAGGTGATTTAGTACCGCAGGTCTTCACTGGCAACAGAGTGGATCTCCTGCAGCGGTTTACTGATTCAATGAAGAACTGCTAGAAAGATTGGGGGAACTGACCACTTGTTTCCTGCCTGGGGGGGGGAAATAATGGGACAGTTTTGTGGATGGTGCAAACAGAAAACCTGTTCATCCAACTCAGCCCAAGGAAGCGCCGCTTTCCTGACAAACGAAAAAAAAAGCTTTTAGAAAGAGGCGGCTTTCAGCAGGATGATGTCTAGTGTGCTGTTTGACTACCTGGACACACACAAACGCACAAATGCACACAGTCGTCTTGACTCACTCAGAGTGTCCGTTCTGGAAACAAACTCCTTCATGATTTAGAACAGGGTCGCTCATTGTTTCAGTGTTTTTTTTTCTTTCTTTCTTTTTAGCTGAAGCCTTTAAGCTCTTAGTTTTGAATATATTTCCATACTAAGATATTTCTTTTACCTTTTAAGCCTAAAGCTTTGGATCTAGCTTTGATGCCAACCCAGTTCTCGTCAGTTTGTTGCATTAAAGGGCTTTATGCTGTATGGTTAAATCTCAAAATCTGGAGGAAAATTGAACAGAAAATTTGCTTTGTCCTCAGAATAAAAGGACTGAAAATAGTTTTATTTCTGTTACTACAGAAGATTCTTGTTTCAGATTAAAGTCCTAGTGTTCATTAAGAAAATATATAACCACAGTTGAATATTACAATATCTATAAAAGTGAAATAAATATATACTGGTGTTGTACATCCAATTAATATTCCTTTAAAGTTTCATTAAAATCCAACAGATGGGCAGCATTTATTCCAAATGGGAAAATTTCAATCAAAGATTGTGTGGAATTTGTTAGCGCCCAGAATATGTGTTGTGTATCAGTCTCAGCTAAAAGGACAGCAAATTGTAGGCGAGCACCTGTAAAACTGACTGAAAAAACTGGCAGTTTTGTGTTGTTATGTGGGTTGGCTGTGGCAGCCATCTTTAATCGTGCTGAGTTCAGAAGTTACATAATTATGGATGTAAACCTACTCATTATTTTCTGTAAGGTTCACTAAAAATTGTCTTGTGGTCGATGGTARCCTCCCCAGATTTACCAGCCACTCTTATCTCCACCTCACCAGCAGCCTTTTCTGGTGTCTGTTTTACCAACAACAACATCAAAGACCAGAACGTAAATGTTTGTTGGAGCTYGCAGACACATCTTCACACTTTTTCTTTGTGTTTGTCATATTTAGATCCAGGCAGGWCTTTGATTTTCCTCTTGACCGACTTCTTTAGCCTCTCCTTCCTGTTTCACATCTACAGCTGCAACACAAACCCCAGAGTTTCCTGGTACTTTTGTCTTCTTGCTTATTCTTTTTTTTCCCACACTCCTTCCTCAAGAAAGATGCAATGACACAAAAAGAAAAAGGGAGATGATGAATTGCCCTCTGCCATGAAGCTCCATCAAATCCAGCCTTTTTAGTCTGTAAAAGCTAATTTGTCTTAATCTGTCCCTCTGCAGCGCCACTACAATATGGCTGCCAGGCAGAGAAGAATTGGCCTTCCCCCGCTGTAATCTTTGTGGCGTGAGAAGCAGCTGGCTCATTCTGCTGTCCACTTATTTGAGCAGAGAGGCAGTGCGCTCAAAGACAGGAGGCCAGTGAAGGAAAAAAGAAGAAGTGGAGATTTCAATAAAAGTCAACCGATTAGGTGTTTGTCAGCAGCCGATTCCGATCTTTAGAAACYAGAGCAGCTGATTATCAGCTCGTGAAGCCAGAGGCTGCTTAAMGGCAAAAGGAGGACAATAACCAACATAAAAATGGTTTTAACTCAGTCAAATTCATAGATTTTGAGCCAGTTTTTTTTTTTTCTGTGCTGATAGCTGAGAGCTGTTCACAACACACTCAGAAAYCACAAAATATTACATGAACTGGTGCAGGCTGTTATTTTCAACACCATAAATGTCTTCTCTCAGCTTAAGATGATCTTAGCTTAAAACTTTKGCATAACAGTTTATTGTTGACGCAAGTTCCAGTTCACTAGATTTTGAAAATCGCGGGGGGCTGCAGCTTGAGCTCTAAGTTCTAACAAAAGTTTGTCGTTACCTCTCGAGAGCATTATCCCTCATCATGGGAGCTGTCAGGCTGATGGCCGCTGCAGTGGGATGTGGAAGAGAGGGCTTTGTATTTTGCAAAGAGGTTGAAAACTCATCAGTGATGGATAGTGATGCATAAGAGTCTCCTGCACTGGCGTGCGCGTGGCGCCTCAGTCAGTCCGGCCTCTCTCTGCTCGGCATTACTCAGTCGACGAAGGCTGACCCTCCAGGTTTAGTGAGGCGTAGCCAGGAGGAGATGTTGAACCGCACAAGATAGAGTGACATCAGACAGGAGGCTGAAGAAAAGGGAGAACRAGGCCTTGAAGAAGCTAATGACCTGGGTTTTCAAGGCAACCCAGTAGACCTGAAAGCCTAATGGTTGGTTCATTTTTGTTGTTCTGTATGGCTAAATATTCGAACTAACCAACAAATAAAATAGCACAAGCTAAACTGATCTTAAAAGGGCAATATCATGTAAAATCAACTTTTTTTTAGTTTTATATATGTTATAATGTTAGACTCTCATAAAAACGCCCAAAGCCTTGCTTTGACTCTTTCGTGCATGTTTGAGAAATCCTGCAGCGTTTTTAGGAAGCCATGCTAAGGAGCAAAACGACAGGTGGGGACCAGAAATACCTTTTGGGACCAGAAATGCCTCTGGGACGTGTCTTTAAGCCGAACTTCCTCATGGCAGAACAGAAGGTGGTTTTAAAGAGACAGAGGCCAATTTTAAGGCATTTAAGATAAGATAAGATAAAACTTTGTTGATCCCAAAGTGGGGAAATTTGCAATTTACTGAAGCTCAATACAGGAGCGGCTGAGAAGAATAATGAAAGATTAATAAAAGATAATAAACAAAAACAACCCCACAATATACACATGTGATATATAGTAATGTACATATACCAATGCACATATACACATATACATAAACACACATGCATATTTATATACATATATACACATAAACACATATACATATATACACCATAAAGAA